AAGTGGACTGCCCGATGCATGCTTAATGCAACGTTTAAACCAGCCTAAGCTAGTTTGCTTGTCTTGTCTGGTTTGAGCTAGCCTATCAGCATAGTTAAGCCAGTGTTGTTAACTACACTCTAAAAAATGCTGGGTTGTTTCAACCCAACTTTGGGTCAAATATGGACTAACCCAACTATTGGGTTACATTTTTAAAGGTGTGACGGGCATGTAGAGCGTGCGGGTACCATGTGTAGATGTTTGGCTGATGGGAGAACAAGCAGGTGGGTCTGATTTACTGGGAACATGGGCGAACAGTAACAGGAAGGCAGATGCTGTTGGAATTGGTGCATCCTATTTGTTTGCTATGTCACACACATAAGAAAAGTGATATTGATGTATAACACTGTCCCTGCAAGAAGCCGAATAAACGGCACAGCGAGAACTTGATTAAAAGATCAATTTTTCTTGGTCTGAAAGAAATCAAAATAACGTATACCACAGTGTAGCTGTCATTTCTTCTGTATAGGGCTGCACGATTTGGGCTTGAGTGATTATTAAACAGCTTAAGGCTACAATTTAATAAAATATAGCTACAGGCGTTTTTTAGCTGTTTGCAACCACTAAAAATGGCCACGTAAAAGCTTTAAGACCAAGCCTCTGCCAAACGACTCACGCGGCAATCCTACTACAGTAAACGCATTTTTACCATCATCTCGCTATCAGTGAATTAGCCAGGACAACTGGGTCTACTGAATATGAATTTTATGACTCCATGTAATTAATATTCATAAGCAAGGGTGAAACATTTTATAAGTGTGTCCTACTCCAATTTTTTTTATTTATTATTTTATTCAATTAAAAACTTAAGTGGACTGCCCGATGCATGCTTAATGCAACGTTTAAACCAGCCTAAGCTAGTTTGCTTGTCTTGTCTGGTTTGAGCTAGCCTATCAGCATAGTTAAGCCAGTGTTGTTAACTACACTCTAAAAAATGCTGGGTTGTTTCAACCCAACTTTGGGTCAAATATGGACTAACCCAACTATTGGGTTACATTTTTAAAGGTGACATATCATGAAAATCTGACTTTTCCAGGTTTTAAGTGCTATAATCAGGTCCCCAGTGCATCTACCAACCAAGGAAACGTGAAAAAGATTAGCACAGTAACTTTGTTTTGGTAAGCCTTTTTCTCTAAGCGTCTGATTTCGCTCCCTTGGTGACGTGGCAAAGGGATCTCATTATAATATTACCGCCCCTTAATCTGTAAGTTTCCACCCACGGCGCCGTCATTTTGATTTCACAAGCAACAACGGTGTACCAGCTCTAATGCCATGGCGAAAGTTTGAGCAAAACATGCTAACTGTTCTGTCTTTGTCTGCACAGATGAGCACAGAACAATATTTAGAGTCCCAGCCTCAGAGGAGACAACAGAGCAGAGGATTTAATGATTTATTTACTGTATATTGCTGCTGCCACACAGATCTAAAATAAACATGTGATTTATTTCCCAGCTGTTTACCTTAACAGACATAACCGACTGTTTTTGTAACTCATGAGTGTTTTTAACGTAAACTTGTGTGTGAATGAGAACTTAGTTTAGTACTCACATGCTGTGACAGCCGCTTTCTGTGCGTGTGCTTCGGATGTGTGCGCTCAGAAAACCGTAAATCAGAAGTTTACACTAATATGGTTTAAACCGCATGATTTCAGCGCGAAAACATGATAATCAGAACCAAAACAGATGTTTTTAGCAGGTCCGAGCTGTAAAGGCAACTGGAGTAATGATGCTTAAAATTCAGCTTTGCATCACAGGAATAAATTACATTTTGACATAGAAATCAAACAGAAAAAAGTTATTTTAAATTGTAATAATATTTCACAATATTACAGTTTTTACTGTTTTTTTTTTTGTTGTTGATCAAATAAATGCAGCCTTCATAAGATAATATTGAATAGGCTATTACAAAATATTGAAAAATCTTACCAACCACAAACTTTTGAAAGATAGTGTATATGTATAACATTTAATCACATACAAATTTAGATATCAGCTATTTCTATCAGAACATACTATAAAAGAGATACCAGCCACCAGGTCATATCATGCATTAATCATTCTTGCTTTCCCTTCAAGTGAGACAAGGACTGACGTACACTAAATCTGCACTGTACAGTGAAAGAAGAATCGCTTACACAGAGACCAAACACAGACCAAAGGTTAAGGCTTCAAACACAGGTGTCGTGACTAGCATAGACGGCAACAGATCCACAACGGCTATTCAAGACACAGATGACCCAGAACGCAACATTTGTGCATCGAGCTCAGGGGGTGAACAGGATCAGAGGGGGCTTGACATTTGTTAAAGCAGATGGCAAGGTTGCTGACCGATGTAAGTCGTATCTTAATCTCTGTACCTTTTATGCTCTAGTCTTTACATACAGCATCTCTCTATTAAAGGTGTTCACACTGATGGCGATTTGCAGCGACTGGTGAATACGACCTTTATTTCCACCATGTTTGTTATTGTTTACTAAATCAAAAACTATTAAATAGAATTTTCATTAACTGAATTACCGCTGAAATAAAATAAAAAATACTAGATTAAGAACTTGAATTTTAAAACCTAATTAAAAATGTAGAAACGAACTGAAATAAAATAAGTTTAAGCTGAATTGCTAAAATGACTAAAACTGAAATGGAAATAAAGTGAATTACGGCTCAACAGAAATATAAAAAAAAGAATAAAAAGTGAATTAAACTAAACATTCAATTCATTTAATTAAGTCATTTTCTATGAATTAATGCTAAACGGAAATATTTTTTAAATAATTTACAATAATTACAAATAATTAAAAAAATAAATAAACAAATATTAATTGAATTGTTATCAGTGTGAGTGCACCTTTATGTACAAAATAGCATAATAATAGACATGGAAATACTTCTGCTAATAGATTTTATATGGTTAAAATTAAGCAAATACAAAGTGACTATGATGAGTAAGAAATAAAATAAATTATATCAATTAACTAAACGGCATCTATGAAAAAAGTAAACAAATAAAAAATGAAGAAGCCATCAGAAGCAGATCTCAAATGTGAAGATGTTTTGGAATTTCCTGAAACTGTGTCTCACTGGTATATAAGAGTACGGTACATACTGAAAGCCAAGCTACAAAGGGGAAGTGACAGGTGACTGGAGAGACGAAATACAACAACTACCATAAAGACACAGCAACATAGCAGCACTGCTAACGGTCAACCCTCTGCATTCAATCAGGACCAGATGAGATGGCGAGACACCAGTGCACCTTCAATCATGATGTTCTTGAATGCATCTAAACCTTTAGGGTCAAAGGTCAGAGATTTTGAGGGTTGTCCATCTCCATGGAAACCATGCATGGGCTGGGAGTGAAATGTTAGCAGTTAGAGACTTTAGTGCTGCTGGCAGGGCTGTAGGGAACAGGGGCCTTGAGAAATGAATTGGGCTATGGAAATGTTTTAGTGATCCATCAGTCAGAACAGTACATCGAAAAAATTAAAATGTTGTTATCATTTACAATCCTCTATTTTGTGCAAAATCTGTATTTATTGTGTTCCTTTTGAAAACACAAGATAAAAGTAGTGTATATGACTCATGTGCTGTATTCCAAGTCCTCTGAGGTCACATGGCAGCACTGTGTGAGGAGCAGGCTGAAATTTAAGTCGTTAATCTTCTCTCAAACTTCCTTTGCAGTTGTAGTTTTCAAACTTGCCTCATTAGAGAACCAAAATGAAGTTTGCGAATGAAATTTGAGAGCACTGGTGGAAATCCCACATGGAATCTGTGCCTGCAGAAACATCCACAGAATGGGAATGCACATCTATCACAGAGTTTGCCAAAATCAGTGCAGAAAAAAGAGAAATGTCTGCAGATTATGTCTGTCCACATATGCATGAGTTTTGAAATTTTAGAATACAGCACACGAGTCATATATAGTACATATAGCAGTCATACCGCTTTTTACTATCCCGATCTCATGAGACAACAACTATTTTATGAGCTGGCGATTTCATATGAATTCAGACTTTGGTTTGTATTTGATTTGAATGAAAATGTACATTTGTTTGGTTTAAAAATATGTGGTTAGGATAAACGAAACGAAACGAAACTGAAAATGTATGATTTTAGAAAAAAAGAGTGGATAAAAAATTATATTAATAAAATAAAAAAATAAAAAATAAAATAAATAAAATAAAATAAAATAAAATAAAATATGGGCATGTGCATGAGAAGTGGGCAGGAGCCTGAAGTCTGTATCCGTCTCCTATCAATTCGATTCTGATTTAGCCCGGGAATTAAACCAGAAAGACGACTTCCCCTCGAAGATAATGTCTTCAATTAAGCAATTAAAACTCAAGGAAATGGCAGACTGGAGCGAACCTCACAACCCTCTGTGGAACTCAAGCCACGTCTCGCTGAGAGCGATGGGCTGACCTAAAGATTGGACATTTCCTCTCATTTCAGGCTGGATTGTGGTGTACACTGAATGATAAAAAGCCAACTAGAATGCTAGAAAATGACGCGGACTGCCCTAGATATAGTTCTTTCAGATGGGGTCAATGGAAAATATGACTGGCGCGACTCACAGGCCTTGGGCATGTATTGTGGGTCATGCGAATTGACCTTGAAGAATTTATTTTTCTTTCAACTTTTTCAGCCTAAGTTTAAGTATGAGATCACAGGCGAAATTCACAAAACCTGGAGAACAAATAGTTTACTCCAAAAATCTAAATAAATCATAAGAAATAATATATTGCATGAAAAAATGAAGTCGTTTTTAGGCCCCTAGGGATATTATTTAAATTACACTTAATTCCACACAAATCCCACACCAATTCTCATTACAGATTGTTTAATATAGGCTATATTTTGTATTATAGTAACAGGAATTAAAAAAAGGTTGTTGACATTTTTGCTTAATTGTCATGAAAATAATGCAAAATGTCTGAATTCACCTAAAAACAGGTTTCATTTTCTTCATGCGAAATATAATTTCCCCATTTTTTTTCATTTCGATTTTTAGGGTGAAACATGACTTGGAGACTGCTTTGTGACATTCACCTTTGTAGGTTTCATGAGACTCAGGTAAGTCCCTGTAAGCTAAAGAGGATCACTGGAATGGAAGGCCAGAACAGAGAACACTGAATGGACTTCCCTTTCAGTACAGCCCTGCGCAGAGAGAAGGGGTCCCTTACCAGCCGTAACCAAGACTCACTTGGGCGTGAGGCGAGGGTCTCCGTAGGGGGCGTAAGGGGACATGTTGAGGAGGAACTCCTTGGGTGGGTAGGAGCTCCAGCGCTGCTGCACAGTGCTGCTGTCATTGTTATTCCAAAAGTCCCTGTCGAGATCACTGCTGACAGACAGAAAGACAGCTGAAAGAGCAACACAATGTCTCTTCAGGAAGAGTCAAACAGGAAAAAAACTGCAGAAACAGAGTTCAGATAGACAAGTTAGTCCAGTGAGAGAGAGAAAACACTGGTGTAAACCTACAGTAACTGGCTGAGTGGAACGATCAGGCCACACAGAGACTTTTTCAGAAAAGCTTTCTCTTGTCTAACAACGTTCCAGAGCTCCTGTGTTTTTAAGTGGCACGAGATCTTGAAAAAGTAAAAGATTTCTGAACACAAGAGCTGATATAAAAATAGCTCTAAGGGTGAGATTAAATGGGTTTTGAGATGGATATTTTGCACAAACAACTTAAAGTCATATTTATTCTGTGCTGTCAGTACACTGGATCTGAGTCTTTCATAGCCTACTGTAGTTTCAAACTTCTAATCTCTATAACAACAGAAGCAACGAATACAGAAAGGAGAAGACATATCAGAGGTATGACAGAGGTAAGTGGTGAGGAGCATTACCAAAATCATATATAATAACACTATATCAAACTTTACAGTTGTTTTCATGTAAATTAGGCAAAAAATATAGTACTCTCTGAGATATGTATCTCACTTCATTGTTTTATAATTTCATCTGAAACATAATGGATTGCCAAAAACCACAAGAAAATATATTAATAACAAATAAAGAACTGAATGAAGTCTCACATCATGTAACATACATAAAATATTTTTCCAAACTCCAGTATATTATCCACATTAGAAAGAAATTAAGTTAGAGATAAAGTATATTTTCAAATGGACTGAACTGTGACTTAAACACTGCCAGCTGTGATGTTTAGTGTATTCACCTGTTCTGACAATGTCTGATTGGTCTCTATTAAAACTCCAAGCCTTATAAATGAATCTCCCATGTAATATTTAATTTGGGTCGATGCAGGCATTTAATATGATAATAAAAGTCTGAACATATTGGAGTTGGTCCAGGTGCTAATCCATTTACAACAGACACACGCACACACACGCATACACACGCATGCACACACACGCACACACACACACACACACACACACACACAGGTTTACATTTGTGGGGACATCCCATAGGTGTAATGGTTTTTATACAGTACAGACTGTATATTCTATTGCCCTTTACCAACCCTACCCCTAAACCTACCCCTTACAGGAGACTTTGTGCTATTTCAGATTTTCAATACACTCCATTCTGTGTGATTTATAAGCGTTTTGAAAATTGGGGACATGGGGTAATGTCCTGAAAAGTCACCTTCTCCTTGTAATACCTATGTCATATCTTTGTCATTATACAAATTTATAATCATTTGTCCTCATTTGTTACAAAAAAACGCGTATACGCACACACGCGCACACACACACACACACACACACACACACACACACACACACAGGGGTACAGGGACACATGCAAACATAAGAGACACATAAAATAACTTATTTCTGCACAGAAGGTTAACTATAAACACTCGTCAAGCTCGAAATAGAAGTAAAACTTGGCAATTCTTGAAAAATGTTCACACCAACTGGCTAGTAACTTGTTTACTTATTTACTCACCATCTGGTTGGTAATACTTTTTAGCAACTGTCACATAATACATGATTTAAATCTTATTTTTCAAACGATTTAATGCTGCAAAGTAGCAAATCTATATGGTATAATTTTTCTGGCAGTCACTGACTGGTTAATTTCTGGTGTTGCAAATGACCTGTGCAAATTGTTGTATGCAAATAAAAAAACACCTAAATAAATTATTTGTCCTGGAGAAATAAACTACTTTTTTTTTTACCTTTAATTATGATGGCGTATTAATGCCCCTTAAAAATGTATTTGGTGTTTTAGTGCCACTTAAAAAACTACTTTCAGAATAAAGTTAGGTAAATCAAATGTTTTGAGAATAATCTCAAAATATTAATATTTTAATCTCAAAACTGTTATGTTATTAGTTGTACAGTAAATCATACATTTATATTTATATATATGTGGGCTCCTCTCCTCCTTCAGTAAAAGAAATCTAAATGTCTCATTCGAGTTTGAGAAACACAATGAAATGTGCGGCGGAACGGCTCTTCCTGCCCTTGTGCGGTCACAGGTGATTAGCTGTCTGGCCTCTTGTACTGACATAAAAACAGTATCCATCTGCTGCGAGCTGCAATGGTGTCTAATTAGAGCATTGCCTGATTAATATTCTGGCTGCAGTAGTTACCAGAGCAAGTGCTCCAAGTGGATTATTGCTGGACGTGTGCTGCTTCACACTGCTGACCTGATAAACATCATCAAGTGTGTGAAAGCCATCACACACAGACACACACACTCACACACTATTTTTAAAGTGCGTTGAGGTTATTCCTGTGGTTTGCTCAGAATCTATCTATCTATCTATCTATCTATCTATCTATCTATCTATCTATCTATCTATCTATCTATCTATCTATCTATCTATCTATCTATCCATCCATCCATCCATCCATCCATCCATCCATCCATCCATCCATCCATCCATCTATCTATCTATCTTTAAATGTTTGAATTTTAACAATAATAACCCTGGTATAAACCAATTTAAATCCACTGTAATTGTTTTGTACCAATTTACTGCACAACCCTATATAATTACAGATTAAGTATTTCAAAAAGTGCAAAAATAAACATTTCAAATGGTAGTATGCTACATTGTTGTCAACTAATCTTACTACATTACATGATTGACAGAAATAAAAACGGCTATTTTGCTCATTTAAATCAATTGTTTGTTTGTTTTTTGTCTAAAAAATATTTTTAAAAACCTAACAAAAATGGCTTAATTTTAAATAGAAAATAAAAATGACTTCTGCTTCATTCATAACTTGGAAAATCCAAGGTCAAGTCAAATGTATTTCCATATTGTGATTCTGTCCATATTGAAAATGTGCATACTGTGCACAGCATAGAAAGGGCAAACTGCAAATAGGACATTTTTATGGTAGTATGGCATTAGCCAGAACATGAGAACATAGGCGGTTTCTGATATTTGCAAACAACAAGCCAGTGTTGGCCATAGTACTGACCACAACACATGCCACAGCTGGTGTGAGAATTGAATATAACACTTCTGAAACTATAAATACCAATTAACACTCCTGAATAAAAGACAAATACGGAGGGAATATGAAACATGTTTAAAACATATGTGTATCAATAACACAGTTAGGAACGACACATTTGCTGTTTCTTATTTTGCAACGTATGCAATGCTTGGAATAGCATGCTACTCCAAATATTTCTGTGCACAGTATGTGAATTTGTGTTGATATGTAAAATAACAATGACAAATGTAAACCAACGCTGTAATTGTTCGGTACACATGCATACCGAAATGAAAATATATCCAGTATATACTGTGCCAGTATGCAAGATTCCATTCTGAACACAGACTTTTGGATTTTCAGTTCTACGTACAACTCTGAGTAGCACAAGAATGCATATTTTCCTCTCATTATTGAGACATTAACCGCTATAGTTAAGCCCTACAGGAGGCACCTACTTGATGGCTTTATTTTCTCCTCGGCCTCTCCCCGACACAGACACCGAGTCTGGGGTCCCCGCGGCCTCCACCCCTGGCTTATTCCTCATCCCCTTCAGAAAGAAAAGTGAGAGAACAACACATGGATGAGAAATGGAAGATTGCCTGATGTAATATCTTCAAGTGCCATATTTCAGCAAATCCTCTGCAACCGCTGCAAGTCACACGGTTTAATTAATCAGTACAGCTAGACAGATGCAGTGATAGAGCTAACACACAGCATCAACAGCCAAAGAGGGGTTTTACACAGATATTAATGACAAGTCTGAGACCCTTGGGGTGTTTACACACTAGAGAAGCTCTAATGGAGTGTTTGATGGATTGGAAGGCATAAGATGCACTTTGAAGATGTCGAAAGAGCAGGTCAATCTGCAATCAAGCGGGAACACAGTGAATTGGATCTGCGAAAGCACAAGCGGATGCCTACATCAGAATGCATTGCAAAAGTTTACATTTTCTCCATTCTTGAGAAGCTCTAGTAGACACTCTTTCCAAGTAGGAGTGAAGAAATATAGAAACTTTATATTTTATTTCACTTAACACTTATTTCAAGTAAGGAAAATGGTTTTAATTATATATATATATTTATAATAACTACTAACTATAATAACTCTAGTTTACAGATAAATATTAATATTAAAAAATTTGATAAGCAAATTTAATATATCTATATTTAATATATATTTTTATATCTCTATTTTACTATATAATTTATTGAATAAATTAGAGCAATAAAGTGCTCAACCACCATGACCAAATTCTAAATAAAATAAAATTGACGTCTAGGAACACTGTCTAGATAGTAAAATATAATAATAATAAAAAATAATAAAAAGAGTCAGGCTAAAGTGGTCAAACAGTGTTAACGCTAATTTATTTAAATTAACGAAAAAGTTAACTATAATAACCCTGGTTTACAAATACATTTTAATATCTAAAATAATATTTATTTGAAAAAACTGATGAAAAATAATACAATATGTGTGTATATATATATATATATATACAGTATGTATGTATATATATTTTTTTACTATATCATTTATTAATCAAATTAGCAATAAATGCTAATTTACCATGACCCATGAAATAACATTTATTATGAACTGAATAATTATGAACTCTTGAATGTGCCCGTGATGCCTAGGAACACTGTCTAGGTTGGGAAATATACGAAGAACATTAAATAGAGACTCGGGAAAATGTGGTCAAATACTGTGTAAACACACATTCAGAGAAAGTCACGCATGCATAATTAGCCCTGAAACTGAAAAATATAATTTCAATGGACATTCAAGCCAAATGACTACAGTTCAGCTTGAGAAAACACTCATATGCTTCCATAATGCGCCATATGCAAACAGTCGTGCTATTGGCAGACAACTGAGACAACTCTACTGATCGATGCAACCAATTACATAAAGGCTAATTACATCATTTCCTGTCTGTCAAAGACTCACTCCTCCCTACCATCTCTTGATTGGCCAATCCATCTCAAAGTGATTCTGCAGGTGGAGTATTCATTACAAAGTCCTCTGAAAGCCATCAGCCGCCAGCAGTTGTGTAAGAGATGATAAATGATACGAACGGGAGGAAGAGAGAGCAGCGTCTTGGCCTGGGTGCAGCAATAGCCTGCCAGTTTCGAGCATTTAAATTACGTCGCCTGCCAACATGCAATCGCTCCTCTGCCATGATCGGTCTACCGATGTAATGAATGGTAACAAAAGAGGAAGCAAAACAAGCGTGTTCATACACAGGTACAAACATCTTGTGATTTGCGACACAAGTGCGCTCATTTGCATTAGGAGACATGAGTTAGAACTGGAATTTGTGCCATGCCCCACAGGAAGTGGAATTAGAATTTGAACGGGAATGACAGGAAAAGGAATTTAGTAAAGGAAATTCAACAGTCACAGAAGAGAGATTTAAAAAAAACTGTTATTGCACCATTCATTTTGAATAATTATGAATATTTTTTCCAGATATGTAACATAGTCAACAATTTTTTCATATTAATTTTTTTAATTAGTTTACATTTTTATATTCTCTGTTCATTTTAAGTTAAAATTGTACTAATTTTGTTGCATGTTTTAAAACTAGGTTTATATAGTTTTTAATTTTTATTTCAGTTTAGTGCAAGAAAATGTTGCTTTTTGTTGATTTGCAACTAGCTGAATTAAGTTTATTTTATATATACATATATATATATTTTTTATATTGTAATATTTTTTTATATTTATTTTTTACATTTTTTGTTAACGTTAATTTCAGGTAATGTTAATGTTAATTTCAAGTAATGAATTTTTTTTAATGGTTTTAGTTACCAATAATAACCCTGGTTTACAGATAAATATTAAAATAAAAATTAAGATTCAGATTTAATTTAAATATTAAATTATTATATAAATAAAATTATTATTAAATAGTTCTAATAATTTTATATTTATATTAAAAAATAATTAATGACATGAATGATAAAATTGAAATGAAATTTAAAATACAACAAACAAAAATAAATATTCACCAAATTTGAATATACTGACTATATCATATATTGAACAAATTAGAGCTAAGTGCTCTTCCACTATGATCTATAATTTCTTTCTTTTTTTTGAAAATGCTGTACAATTCATCAAAAAATGAAATATACAGTATATAAATTAAATACAAATATTTGAGATAATTTAATATAATATTAATTTCATGTTTTGTCTCTTGAGTATAATAACATTTCTGTTAATTCACACAGAAAAATTAAACGTGTTACTAAGAACTACGGTACACTATACTGTACACTAAGTACAGAGGTCCTCTGACTTTTTTGACCTTATTCTTTTTTCCTCCCAAATCCTTAAATTACAATTATGCAAAACAATATATATATATAAATAATAAGTCATACTTCCCGCACCTCCTCTCACACAGACACAGTTGTTTAATATAAGAAATGCTAGTGTAGATCTCTGACAGGCACGCAGTACGCTATCAAGTGTGGAAAAAAAGCAAAGGGAAAGAAAAAACATCAAGGAGAAAAACAG